GTGTATGTATGCCTTAACCAAAGGATTCAACCCTTGCAACGGAAGCTCAGCCCCTCCTTTATAGAGGAGAGGCTCTAAAGCTTCTTAAGGAAGCTAAAAGTATCCTCCATGTGTATGGAGGATGGTCCAAATGCCTCCCAGCTGGCACAGCTGGATTGCATTCAGAGAGAGCAAAAAGCAAGAAGCAGGCCGACCAGTTCAAGTGGCCGGCCGGCCACTCCCCCTGGTCGGCCGACCAGGGGTCACAAGGTTCAAGGAGAAATGCTGGCCAGCCACCCCAGAAAGGTGGCCTCCCAGATGAGTGCAACACAGCTCTATGGTGGAAAACCAGAAAATGTGACCCAAGAGAGAGAAAAACCAGCTTTTTAGGAAGGTTCAAAAGGGTCAAGAATAATTACTGGTCGGCCTACCCATATTGGTGGCCTCCCAGATGAGCACAACACAATGGTGGTATGAAAAACCAGAAATTGTGGCTCAAAAGTGAGAAAAACCAGCTTTCTGTCAGAAAAACCAGCTTTAGAAGAGAGAAAAAGAGAAAACTGGTTTCCAAGGGGAAAAGGTGGCCTCCCACCATACTACCACCTCCCTAACAATGAAAATAGGGTCCCCACCAAAAAAAGACCAAGACAGATGCAAAACAAAGGTTCGGGGGCCAAAACGCGCAGTCTGGGGCCCCGAAAACAGGCTGTTAGGCACCGGAAGTGGCGTATGATCACGAAGGTGGTCTCCTGGGCCACAGTGTCCCTCTAAAGGGAGGAAACAAGGTGTGTGCCAAAAACCGGAGAAAATGGAGGTAGTTAAGCAGTCCCGAACCGAGGCACACGGCCGACGGCTCCGAAAACCAGAAACTGGGCTCCAAACGGGAAAAATGGCCTACGACCACGAAACGTAGCCTATGACCACTAAGAGATGGTCTACGAGACCTCTCCCTCCCTTCGGGAAGAGAAAACAGAGAAAACAGGACCTGATTCGCAAACCGAGGCACAGCACAAAAGAGCCCCGAAGTCCGGAGACAAGGCTCGCAGCCGAGACTCTGAAACCTCAGAACGAGCACAATATGCATCATTACCGAACGCTCAATTGGTGACGTCTGAGTCTTAAGGTCGGTCAAAAATGGGGTGTCTACAACTATAAACTTGTTTGCATTCCTGATTCTGTCGGGTACAGGAAGTTCATTGCACAAAAAATGGTTTTCAAGTTCCTGGCCGGTCTCAATGTGGAGTATGATCCGGTTCAGAATCGGGTTTTAGGTATGGACACTCTTCCTTCACTTCAGGAGGCATTCACCTATGTACAGAATGAGAAGAGTCATCAGTCTGCTATGATGTCACATGTATCCACTGATCGCTTCGCCTTATTGTCTACCCCTAGAGATGGCCTTAACCTGACTCTCATTCCTCCATCTACGGCCAAGGAATTTGTATTCTGTGATTTTTGTAAGAAACCACGACATACTCATGAGACATGCTGGAAGATTCATGGGACTCCATCCGGGGATCGAGGTGATTAATCTAGTTTTAGAGGAGGTCGGTTAAGCCAGTCTAGAGGATGGGGTCCTTATCCACAGGCTCATCAGTCTAGTACCGTTGATACACTTGATTCTACTTTCGCTTCTGTTGGCCAACCTTCTGATGGTCTTTCTAGCATGACTACTCCTGAGCTTGACGATGTTCTGCGTCACTTGCTGGACCGCCGGTCTTCTACTGCTCTCAGTACATTTTCCTCATCGTTTGTCCGCTCAAGTAACTTAGCCTCTTCTCCTTGTGTTTTCATATCTTATAAGTCTTTGCCTTAGATTATTGATTCTGATGCCTCAGATCATATGTCTGGCTCCCCTGACCTTCTCTTTGCCTATAAGCCATCTTCAGGTCAGGACAAAGTTAGGATTGCAGATGGTACTATTTCTGATTCTTGTGATTCCTATGTTCCCAATTTTTCTGTTAACTATTATCCTTGAGTCGTATTACACAGGATTTGAATTGTAGTGTGACGTTTTTTCCTGATCATTGTCTTTTTCAGGACCTTGTCACAAGGAGGACAATTGGCAATGGTAGTGCAAAAAATGGTTTCTACTTCCTGGATCAACCGAACAAGCTTGCTTATTCTTCAACCATGAGTCCTACTACCCAAGATGATTTATGGCTGTGGCATTAGCGTCTTGGGCATCCTTCTTTTTATTTACTAAAGCATTTATTTCCATTTAGTTTTCCAAACAATAATGTATCTAAGTTTCTTTGTGAGTCTTGTCAACTTGAAAAACAATACAAAGCTTCTTTTGCTCTCAATTTTAATAAAAATTTAGTTCCTTTTTTTATGAATACATTCTGATGTTTAGGGTCCATCTCGTGTTATGTCTGTGAAAGGTCATCGATGGTTTGTTACATTTATTGATGATTTTTCTCATACTACTTGGGTGTATCTCATGAAAGACAATAGTGAGGTTTTCTTTGTGTTCCGCAATTTTCATAAGATGATTTGTACTCAGTTTGGGGCCATTGTAAAAATCTTCCGTTCTGATAATGGGGGGGGAATACATAGATTCTAGGTTAGGGCACTACTTTTCTACTCATGGCATTATCCATTAGACCTCTTGCACCAATACCCCTCAACAAAATAGGGTAGCGGAATGCAAGAATCGTCATCTTCTTGACATGGCTCGGTGCATGTGTTTTTCCATAATTGTGCCTCAGCCCTACTGGGGCGATGCTATTCTCACCGTTGCCCATCTTATTAATCGTCTTCCTATCCAAGTTTTGCAAAAACAAGCGCCCCTTCAAGTCCTCCAAGGTTGTTTTCTATTCCTCCAAAAATATTTGACTACGTATGTTTTGTCTACAATCACTCTCCTACTTGCGGTAAGTTGGATCCTCGCTTCCTCAAATGTGTTTTCCTTGGGTACTCTCATACTCAAAAGTGGTATAAGGGTTACCACCCTCCTTCTCGTAAGTGGTTTGTGTCCATAAATGTCACATTTTTTGAGTCTCAATCCTATTTCTTGTCCTTTCTGGTGTCCCAGTCCTCCCTTCAGGGGGAGCCTTGGTATGACGTGATTCCTGTGATTCCTATAGTGGAACCAGTTGTTCTTGCACCACCACCTCCTACTGGGACTACAGAACCCAATGTCACCAAGGATAGGGAAGGGCAAGTTTATGCTAGGGACAAAGACAAACATAAAGTTAATTGGATATAAGGGACCACTTTTGCTCCTCCACTGCCATCTCTTGCTTCTGATGAGAATCTAGGTAACTTTGAATCTCTTGAGTTCATTGATCTTGATGTTCCTATTGCCAAGAGAAAGGGTGTGAGGTCTTGTACTCAACATCCTATCTCAAATTTTGTGTCTTACTCTCATTTATAGTCCTCCTATAGAGCGTTTGTGTCAAATATTTCCTCTATTAGCATTTCTAACCATTTTCAGGATGCTTTTGCTACCTCTGAATGGAAACTTGCCATTATTGAGGAAATGAAAACACTTAGGAAGAATGACACTTAAGAATTGACTGAGTTACCTAAGGGGGCAAACGACCTGTGGGATGCAAATGGGTATATACTGTGAAACACAAAGCGGATGGGTCTATTGAGCGTTAAAAAGGCTAGACTTGTGACAAAAAGGTTCACTCAGACATATGGTGTTGACTATCAGGAGACCTTTGCACTAGTGGCTAAGATGAATTCGGTCAGAGTACTTCTCTCTCTAGTAGTTAATCTAGATTGGTCACTTCATCAGTTTAATGTAAATAATGCATTTTTCCATGGTCACCTCGAAGAAGAGGTATATATAGGCATTCCTCCTGGTTTTAAGGATCATCAGACCGAAGGCAAAATATGTAGGCTTCAGAAGTCATTATATGGTCTCAAAAAGTCTCCAAGGGCCTGGTTTGAGAGATTCACGCAGGCTATGCTTAAATATGGCTTCAAACAGAGTCAGACAGATCACACATTGTTTGTGAAACATTCCTCACATGGTAAGACTCACTACAACAAATTTGGGATTTAAAGACGAAACAAATTTGTCCCAAAATATATATATTTCGTCACCCAAACTAATTATGACGAAAATTTTTCGTCACCCGTTTTGTCGCCAAAGCCTCGTCGCTAAAGGGTCGTAGAGACGAAAAAACAATTTCGTCATTGAAAATGATAAATTTGTGACGAATTTTTTTGTCTCCAATACGCTCTGTTGGGAACATACTTGTAAGTAATTAGCGACAAAATATTTTGTCATTAAAGGAAGAAATTAGAGACAAAAGTATTTCGTCATAAATATAAGAAATAGAGACGAAATAATTTTGTCACGCTTAATATAAACGAAGACAAAAAAAATTTGTCAAAGAAGCTACCAATAGAGACAAACAAATTCATCATTAAAAATGATAAATTTGTGACGAATTTTTTTGTCTCAAATATACGCTGTTGGGAACATACTTGTAAGTAATTAGCGACAAAATATTTTGTCATTAAAAGAGAAATTAGAGACACAATTATTTTGTCATAAATATAAGAAATGAAGACAAAATAATTTTGTCACGTTTAATATGAATGAAGACGAAATTTTTTTGTCAAAGAAGCTACCAATAGAGACAAAAACAAATTCATCATTAAAAATGATAAAATAATGTCAAAAAAAATTCGTCACACATTGAGGATAATAGTGACAAAATGTGACAATATTTTTTGTCACGACAAATGCATTTAGTGACGAAATAAAAAATTCATGACAAAATTAATCATCCACCTAAGCGAAATAAGAGACAAAAGAACCTTCTTTAGGGATGAAAAATTTTGTCAATAATTTCATAATATTTTTTTCCATATTATATACCTATTTTATCAAAATCTAAATTTTAGTTCAACAAATATAACCCTGTTCATGTTGAAACCTATTGAATATAACAATTCCATCACAACTTAACCTAACCTGTTATCAACACATTTACGAATTAACAAAATGAAAATATCCATTCATCATCACAAATAATTTCATCCTAATACAATAAAATAGTGAAATATCCACAAAATATCCAAAAGTTATAACTTGTTCAATTTTACCAAAAATCCAACAATAACTAGTGCAACTCCACAAAGTATGTGTATCCTTATCAAACAAAAATAAACATTCATGCAAATTAGATCATTGTTCCACGTCAAAAATGCCACCCCAATCCAATCTGCAAAAAAATAAATTAAAAGCTTTAGTAATTAATTAATTATACAAAAGATTAAAAACATTAGTAACTCATCAATTTACAATTAGATCAATTATACAATTTACCCCTTTAACAGACTTTTTTTTCGAGATTATGAGAACAAAAAATTAATTTTAAGGCTAATTCACAAATGGTACATCCCATTAATGTGCCGTAAGTTCATATAACTTATATTGGTCCATTTAATTCTTAAAGTGCAAGGATACGTACCAGTTTTTCTACTCTAACAGGGATTGACCTAGAACCACACCTGTGTTTTGTATACATCCTTTCTCTGTTCACGATGTTACCCTTTGATTGCTCCTATAAGAAAGAATGACCAATATAATAATGAAATGTATCACTAGTAAACAAATTTAATGCTTGATAATAAAGAATTGCATTGTTCATATCTATCCTTTTCCTATATATCATTTCAACTTAAAAGATGTTTCAAATTATTCACTAGTTTCATTCAATTCTTTGAAATATAGATTAGAGGACTTGTTGAGATTTCATTATAAAATAATTTTTCTGGGTGAAAAAAGAAAAACGAGTAATTTACACCGTTCACAATTAGGGGGCATATAAGCATGGGCAAGATAGATTGTAAAAAAATCCATTTACATTTCACAAGATATGGAACAATTACTGATACCAAACTCATATCCCTTTCTTTCTTCCACAACTATATCAAATCTAAAGTTCTGTCTTAATACCCTGTATTAGTTACTCAGCTAGTTGCTTACCATTATCATGAAACTTCAGACCAAACTCAAGAACAAACAGAAAATACAATCATAGAAACTGAAATCTTAGTTCTTTATTCTATGATGTGAAAGATGCATTTTAAGGAATCATAAATTAATCTCCTATTATGTGAGCCTTCCAATCCATGTTTAATAGTTTCCCTTTCTCATTTTGCCACTTATTTGGTTTTTATTATGTTTCACTTACATGCTTAGAGGATAAGGAAAAAAGAACACATGGAATTGCACAGCAAATTGATTGTGTTCTTTCTAGTTTTTTTGAAATCTCTCCCTATTCTAATCAAATTTTATCTAAGTTACAAGCAAAAGAATATGAAGTTGCTACAATTCATCCAAATTAATAGCTCTCTGTTGATCTTCTACCTCAATGCTTTCTGAGAGGCCTCATCACAAAATATACACAAAAGTAAAATGACACTACTACAAAAAAATATAAAAATCACACTTTTTTTGTGTGATGTATGTTATTTAATCACACCTTTTAGTTTTGTTAAAGTGTGATCTTTGGGAGTGTGATTAAAAGGGGTCATTTTTAATCACATATTTTAAGTGTGATTAAAAATATTTAGATCACACATCTTAAGTGTGATTAATAACATTTAGATCACACCTTTAAGTGTGATTAAAAATATTTAGATCACGCATCTTTTAAGTGTGATTAATAATGATTTAGATACACACTTTTAAGTGAGATTATAACAATTTAGATCACACATTTTAAGTGATTAAAATATTTAGATCACATCTTTTACAAATTTTAAGTGTGATTAATATCTAATAAAACATGTGATTTAATAATCAGATAAGATCACGCTTATATGTATTTGAAGAATGTAATGCGCACTAATATACTATATTTTGAATCACAACCATATATTGAATGGAATACGTCATATATTTCATAAATGAAATTAAATGTTTAAAAGTATATACAAAAGGAATTAATAAAAAGTTTTTAACTGTGCTTACTATATTAAATAAAAAAAACTTGAAAAAAATGAAATTGTTGAATTCTTTGACCATATTTTGCATTTCTCCAAGAAATTTCTGACTTGAAAAATAAAAAAACAACAAATTAATTTAGAAACCACTAGAAGCATATGAATAAACTTAATATTTTTTGTAGAGATTGTTCTTGTCTTACAAAAGACAAAATCGAACATTTTTCATCCACACTAACTCGTCATCTACTGCATCAATAGAAAATGAATAACAACTTGATTATTATTAGTATAAATGTTTGGTTACATATATAAATATGCATATACATAGAATCAATAATCCAAAATGAAAATCTTCAATGTATGAGCAGATATTTTAAAGTCATAAAACAAATATACATAGAATCAACAAATCTAAAATGAAATCTTGAAGTGATTATATATTCCTTACCAAACTAAAGAAATGTTTGATTAGCAATTTAAATAACGGAAGTTATATCATACTTACATTGGATTTCAACTCATATTCTTTAGTACGAAATTTACCATTCAACTCGCACTTCATCAAGTTCGGTTCCGTGTAAGTCTTTTTTCCATTGAATTGCAAGAGGTTATTTACAACATTAGATAATATGAAGAAGATGTACAAGTATCATGAATATAGTAATAAAAGTATAGAATTTATCTCACATTTTGTTTTCCAGCTGTTTTATTGTCACACTGTGATCAGGTAGGAGGACATACTGCTGAGTTTGGTGATCATAAGAATACCAAACCCCATTGTTACCATCATTAATTAATCCTGCACATTAAATAAAAAAATAATAATAATAATAATATAATAAATCTGCAAACACAAATACATACAATAAATAAACACATTGATCCTTCATCAGAAACTAGACCAAATTCTATTTGTCTACTCCACTAGCACTGGTACCCGTCCAATTCATTAGCAGCAAAATAAAGCATGCTTGCATAAAAATAGAATACATAATTATCAATAGAGTATGCTTCACCTAATCATGGCATTAAAAATAAAAAAAAAATATTACATACTTTATGTTACCATATTTGTTTACCACTAACCCATTTTAACTAACAAACCATGCCTTCATTGATTAGTATTGTTTTGAATTTTCAGAGTATAAACAACAGAATATGAAGATATACGAATATTTCACAAGTTTTCTCAAAATTATAAAAACAACCAAGAAGATGTTGAAATCAAAACAATAATGACATTTTCTATCTGAGAAGTTGCGAAAGTCAGATAAAATATCCTCATTTCACTCTGTTCTATGAAATATCA